GACATATTTAGTTGTATTCCAAATTTGCAACTGGCCAAGAATTCGTATATTTTATGGTGTTTATGAAGCTTGCTTCTGAACGTTATAAAGGTATTGAGAAAACAATTAAATTTTAATAAACTACAACGTTGGGTAGGCGTGGTAAATTTTAGTCAATATATCTATCTATCATAAATAAGTTGAAAAGAATAGGAGCTAAGTGGCATCGATGGAAAATCCACGGAAACCACTGAATTTAATGCAATTTATAAATCAGCAATGAGTGTTCGATCGAGTGAAAACCTTATGAAAAATTCATGCAATTCATGCATAACACCAGGGTGCTTATGATAAATTTGAATCCAACATTCTAGAAAAAAAAAAATGCTATTGTTTATGGCATAGCGTTAATAAAGGTAGATTTGGTAAAATTAATTTCACGGCCATTAACTTTTCGATAACATGCATAAATATGTACCGCTATTACAGACACCACTGAAGTCTAGAGAGAAAATAATTATTTTTACTTTACTTGTAGCCTCCGAATGCAGTGTTAGCACTAGCCTGTGTACTTTTTATCGAAATTTTAATACTTACAATTAGTAAAGTAAAACGGCTCCAACGTGTAGATTATTTCATTGATTAAATTTGCGAAAATCTTCGCCAATTGCATTGTACGTTATACATAACATTTGCATACACTTACCTAACTAAATACGAGCCGGATAATATATTTTCAATGCAAACAATGCAAAAGTTGCGTTGCGTTCTCCATAATGTAGGTGCGAGAGTAGAAATATATTATGAAGCGGACATAAACACGAACATATTGAGTTTACGCATAAATCCCCCAAAATGCATCAATCATTATCGTCACGTTAAGTGGAAGTCTTCTTTACGATACGGAATGGAAAAAACGTCTATTTTCAATATATTTCGCATTTTTATTCGATAAAGAACTTTCGCCCAGAACACAATAAACGAAAACGAGAATCACAAGCAAGTTGCGGAGATTTTTATTTCTCTAGCATTTCTTGCTTTGAATCAATCAATCAAATCGAGGATTCACCTAAACCGGATCGGTATTTAACAATTGTTAAGAAGTCAAGGTTGAAAGCATTCTAGATTTTGTAATTTCGAATTTTTGTGTTTGAATTATGCATAGACGCAATTAATACTTGAAAAAACTCACGACCTCATTTACAAATACCACATCCATACAACTAATCAATCTTAGCGCGGTTTAAAGTTGCATCGAGGTTTTAAATAATGTTGAAAAACTTTATAGCGCAAAAGTAAACTTGCCATATACGTGTTTTCAAAGAAACTTTTTCTTATTTTTGTGCGTATTAAACGTATTTTTTAATTAAACTTTTTTACATTTTATTTTTTGAGTAAATTAAAAATGAAAAATTACTATAGCATTTATTTAATTATAAGAAAATTGCATGACAGACAGACAGACTTTTAGGTTGGAAAAGATATTAGATATGTATATATACGTGTTAGGCCATATAAAAAGTCCTTGTGGTATCTTCCGCCGAATAGTCTTAATGCGTATATATCGGGCCAACGGAAAAAATGCGGCACCACATTAGATAAATGCACTGAAAATGTAAAATTTTTCTCATATCATTCCAAAATATGAATAATATATCGATCTTTGAGGACAATTTCGGAAAAGTGGAGGCACTTGTGGAGTAGTAAGCATAGGACATGAGGACTATTCATCATAGAGACCTCTATTCGAATAGCACTAGCTTTTGTGGCGTGCCTCGAAGGCAAGAAAAGCAATTAGCCAAGTGCTACTCTCGGCACGGATTGCTCTAAGTGGCCTAGATTTCCAATAATAGTCATCGTTTCAAAAGCGATTTTACCTTAGGTTTACTCAAAGAAATGGTAAACAGAAATAAAGATGGAGACGAAACATATTCAACTCAGCGACTGCTACCCGCGTTCAAATCAATTATGCCCGAAAATTGTTGCAAATTGTTGACCCAATTTCCTTTGTTATTATACATACACCTATGAATTTTAACTAATAATTTTTTTAACCCTATTAATTATTTAACGATTATTATACTATTTATTTAATCATAGTTCTGATTCTTAAGCAAAAATTAAAAAACCATTACATTGAGTAGATATTTGCCTATTATAACTGTTACCTAATCATTATTTACTTTCATATGTTTTACTTGCTCTTAACTCTTCAACTCTTGATTACTTACTATATGTTATTTATATGATGTTGTATTTTCCTTTATTTTTATATCGTCTTCGTCTTCGTCTTCGTCTTCTTGTAACATTAGCTTAATTTAAGTTTTTTTTTATCGGCAACAAAGTTTTATTAAACAAATAAATAAATTACATATCGAGAATAATAAGAAAGTTATTCATTTCGCTTTCATTAATTCCCGAAGAGGTGCAAAATGGACACAAAACATTTCTGATGCTTGCGTCGAATACATCATTTAAGTTCATGCTCTTCTAGTTCACTTAACCCACCTGAATCGTGCTGTTTCTACTAGTGAGACATAGTTGTTTAGTAATATAAAATCAAAAAGTAACGGTACGATAAATTTCTTTAAAAATGTTTATAGTTTTTATCCCACTGACACGTAAACATCTACGGCTTATACTCATAAATCCGCATCATAGGCATAAACTTGATTTTCAATCAAAGTTGCAAGTCGGGGAACAGCGCTGTGAGAAATGCTCTTGAGAAATGCTCTTGAGAAATGAGTAGCAGAGTCTTCAGGTTCATCTTATCGACGACCCTCGAAAACTCAATCATGGGCATAATCATTTATATTGGGAACGAGTGCACCTGTCGATCGCCCTGAACCCGAATTATAATTTGTTAGTAGGAATGCCTTTACAAGGCAAGCACAATCGCTCGATCGCTGCATAAGTTTCTAAGCTTTTCGACTTTTTCTACTTTTAATATAAGCGTAATGACTCCATTGTAATCGGTAAATTCGACAACAACAAAATATACATTTTTTAAAAAACATTCAAACATATTATAATTAAATCATTTTCTGATGTGTTTTTTTTATATTATAAGATAAATAAATAAAATAATGTATTATCCATTATATTTGTAAAAATTGTAAAATTTTTGCATCGACTGTTTACCCAAATTTTGCGTTTCGAAAATTTAGAAAATCGAACGCGTTTCCCAAATTTGGAAAATCAATAACTAGGAGACATGTGGTCGAACACAATCGCGAGACGAACGGAATGAAAAATTTAATATACCTTTCTAATACTACGGCAATTAAAAAAAAAAACTTTTAACACTGACATTGCATGTAACACTTTTTCATGAAATATTAATAAGCCATTAAAAGGCAAATCTCTCTCCGACAAATATTCGACACAAAATTCGCATGACTACAATTTTTTGTCATTTTCTTCATAATATTAAACTGTTTAAGCGTTTCTTGTGCATTTTGCCACGCTATTGTTTTAAAAACTGAAATACAAAAAAAAATCCTTCTTCTGTTTTTTTGTCCTTCATTTGTTTGGCTACAAAATTAACTAAATACCATGAACACCAATGTTGGCTTAACCTTCAAAATACTGACTCTGAATCTAATGAGCAAAATAGTACAAGCCATAACATGTCTCTTTCTCGTATATTCATGTACACTCTACCCTACGTGCAATTGAGTGCAGCTAGGCCTCGCCATTCACCAGAGTGGGGTTTATTGTTCCATACACAATAAACTGTTCTGGACTCTGGTGCTGTTTAGGCCCCTACTCTGCGGGGATTGTCTAACTCGCCAGGGGGCGTAGTACGCTTAAAAGTGGCTTGGGCCACCGTGGGGTTAAGCCTTTCAGGCAGGAACCCACGTTAAACCCTTGCCACAAAATTCTACCCTACGTGCACTGGTGCTCTAATCCTGATATCACATATATGTGCTATTGCACTAAAACGATTTTACGAAATTTTGTAAGGCAAACGCAATTTCCTTCTTACAATAAATCGGTTCTTGGCCAATTAGACATTGTGGATCTCTTTAAGGGGATTACTCGCTTTAAAACTTATGTATAGACACCACCATGTATATATATATGTACACCACCGAAGGAACAGGGTTTATATTCATTTTATCACACCATTTGCAACGCCCAGAAGGAAGCGTCAGAGACCCGACAAAGTATATATATTCTTGATCAGCATCAAAATTTAAAATTATGACCGTGTGTTCGTCTATGTAATTGCTGTTGCAAACATTCTTCTGGCCACAAATATGAAGTTATCGTCTTCAAATTTAGCAGAAACATTGAAATTTCTGGCAAGCAAGTTGGTATTGAAAATGGGTCATATCGGCCGTACGACGCGCCCATAACACCACGTAAACTGAAAACACCTCGGTTTTTTAAAAGGAATGAAAAATTGGTTATTTTGCTCATTACCCATAAACAGTTGCAAATAAGTACGCAAAAATTTGAATACGCATTCTATGGGCAATAAAATGGAAAAAATTTACCACGCCTACCCAATGTTATAGTGTATCAATATTTAATTGTTTTTCCAATACCTTTATAACGCGAAGAAAAAAACTTCAAAAATCCCTTAAGGTATATAAATTCTTGGTCACTTTCAAATTTGGAATACATATGAACATGTCCGCCTGTTTGTGTGTCCATCTGTCCTCCTGCCCAATTGTGTAGTATCTGTGGTAAATGAAGATATCGCCTACACATTTATTAGAGATTTTGGAAGTGACGTAAACTTTCCAAAGGACACGTCTGCAACACCTACGTGCCTATACGACAAAAACTTTTCTTTTAAAAATAGAAGAAATCAGGTGCGCTCGCTCGATATTATATAGCATGAAAATTTTGTTGTATTACTTGTTTTGTGTTTTTTAGGAAAACATTGTAGGGTATAAAAAATTCGGTCTCGACCGAATTTAATCGTTTTTTTTTTTATATGATCAGCCACTCAAGCAATGTCCCCTATACACGTACACGCATAGTGGTGAGCAGGAAGGTTTATAGAAAGAGTAGGATGAAGGAACGGAGTAATGCTTGTGAATGCTCGTCTTGAAAATGGAGACATCAAGTACGACTGGAAAAAGCACTGCTGATAGGTTGTTCCAAAGGCAGGCATCACGATTGAATAACGGCAATCGCGGTGAGGTGCTTTACAGTATACAGATAAATCCAGGACGATTGGGAGAGAACGCTGAGAAAGACCTGTAGTCCTGTTGAAGGATTTAATTAATATAAAATATGTTTTACAGTATGGAACTGATTGCCATGTAGTTTAAAATGCTGCCAGAAATGAACATACATGAACATGAGGTGTACATTTAGTGCCAGGAATCATTAGCAAATATGTCCACGCGCTAAAATACCAAAAAAAAAGAGAACAAACAGCAAAGGATGAAAGGCAAAAGTAGTTAGCTAACAAAAGTTTTCTTAGGATATATGATGTGATTTACATACCGAAAAGGCTTGACTACTCTAAGCGCACAAATGTAGAAATGAAAAAATTTAAGTAAATGCACAATGTGTATGAAACTATTGACATTTTTATGAATTTCACTAGACGTTAACGAAACACCGAAATACCGAAGAATGGAGAAAAAGGGAAAAATATTCGTAAAATACTTATGACTTTCACGTTAGAAGCTTTACTTTTCTTATGTGACATTATACTGCTTATAATAGGGCAAAATGAAAAGATTCGCTCTCGAACACAAAAACTCTTGCAGAAAACACGCAATAATGTCTCGTAAGGACATGGTAAGGTATGAGTTGCACGATGCATACCAGTATTCGCGAATTATACCACAAAACTTACTCAAGCTCATGTATTTGTGTTTTGAAAATAAAAAACATAGAAAATGAAAAGCAAAATTTAACCTTAAAATGAACTTGAAATACTTTCTTACCGTAATAGTGCGTTCAAAAGTTGTTCGAACCAAACTCGAATCAAACTTTATATATATATGTATATATATCCAGAAAATCAGCTTAAATATGAATCACAATTTTAGACTTGATATGTGTCGACATGACGTTTCTATAGTAATAACTTTAAATATCACATTATACATACGCAAAACGTGTTGTCATTCCTATGTTATTGTGATACCCTACACCGCTTCCCATATAAGAATATATTAAATTTATGCGGTTGTATGTAATACTCGAAAGGATTTGAGATAGATTCATCTTTTATTATGCTAATCGATTCAGAATCATTGTCTCTCCATCTGTCCGTCTGATATCTGCCTATGTATAATTTTATTCAACCCACAGGTCGCGATTTTTGAAAATATATTAAAGAACTTTGGCGCAACAACATTTTTTTGGCATTATTGAAAATATTTCCCATCCCATATAATGCCGTATTTTGGAAAGACATTGACTCTTAAAGGAAGCGATAAAGATAAGATATGCTACAATAGTTGGACTAAGGCTAATTCGTGTCAACGGGTTAATCTTGGTGTTATGTACATTGGTTGGAAGTAGTGATGGAACGTGGTTAACATACGGATACTGTAAATGGTAGCACTCTCAGGAGTGGACTTATTAAGTACCGTTATATAGTTTCAAATAATTCAGTAACTTTTTTGAGACCTTGTCAAATGAATGGACCTATTGTGCTGAGATCTTTATTTAAGTTAACACGAATAAGGGCCAATCTAATGCTCAACAAAAGTCTGAAAACTCTGAACTCCATTTTTCACCTATTCTTTATACGGTCTTTGATATATGCATTTCTCAAATTCAATTCAGAATTTGAAAATAAACTTTTTTTTTTTTTTTTTAAAAAATCAAATAAAAGCCAAAGCAATTTACAAGTAAAACAGATAAGTAAGTTATTCAAAAATAAAAGGAAAAGACTTTAAAATCCTTGTGCACAATTCCAAACACACAGACATCAAATAAATACGCGATCAGAAACCATAATATATGATAAAAGGAAAAGAAAGAAAAAAAGAAGAGAAGTCTTTGTACAGCACAAAATGCGATTGTAAAGAAATACGTGTGTAATTAAAATCCTTTGTAAATTTATGATTGTGGATTGTGTGTTGATATATGTATGTAAAATATTTGCTGAGTGCGATAGTCCCACAACAGAGCAACCGACTTTTTTACACACAATAGGAACTATCAAAGGCAACTAAATACCAAGGTATGCCAAGAAATTCTTTCAAAATAAGTATTATATCCTTATAGCATAGGTACCAAGGTATCAAGTATTTTTAATGTTCATATTAACAGTAACAATAGTAGCGCTGCGTTAATTAGCAGCGTTTCTGTTTCGTTCTCATTATTTTTAAATAAATCAAAACAATGATGGGTACAAAAGATTCGATTCCGACCGATTTAAATTCTCTTTCCTATTATTATTAGAATCAGAGATATTAAAGTAATGTTTAATGTTACGCAATTCAAAGTCACAATTAAACAAGTATAAAGAATTAGATGTGAGGATTTACAACTTGACTCGACGGCTTCTACTTAACGACTGCTCGACTTTAGAATTTGACTCACCGATAGCCGCATAATGGCGGTATCGCTTTAGAACTTAACTCACCGACTTTCACTTCAACTCTTTTTTATGTTTCCGATTACCGACATGCCATCGAATCAAGCTTTCCAAGCCCTTGAACTAGCTATTGAAATTTGTTGTTGATAACAGGAAACAGCAAAAGTATCTGAGATGTGTACAGCTTTTTATTTAGAAATATTTCTTGACGTATCTCGTTATTTTGTTTGTCTCTAGAATTATTTTCACATCTGTTTGTAGTCGCGTGTTTGCGAGAATATGGGTATACAGGCAAAAAAGCAGAAATATATATATATATATATATATAACCATATAAACGTAAAACGCTTTACGGCTGTTACTTGTACTTAATGAAAACATATAAAGCGATGAAGATAGCAAAGACAAGAAGTCAAAGAATGACTTCGCAGAGAGATGGCAGACACTTTACCACTTATCATTCAATTTCGTTGGTATTTTACTTCATTTGTTAATTTTTTTTAACTTTTCAACTTAACCTTAAATTCTGTTCGCTTGCTCGCTGCCTAATGCAAGTAAGGTGATTATTTATTGTCGAACATACCGCAAAATAGAGCCTAATTTTTCTTTGATTATTACATCTGAACAAAAAGACAAAACATTGCCAAAAAAAAAGTCCCGGGCTTACTGAATATAAATCTTTGGCTGTTTCGTGTTTTTTTAATCGTCATTTTATTTAAAGTAAATTTTGTTAACTCATCTATGCTATCGGAATAAATTGTTTTGTTAAAATTATTCCTACTTGAAGGTAAAGTGTTGATCGAAATGAAGAACCCTTGAACTATTCTATTTGTTGTGTAGTGAAAAAATATTAATACAAGGGGAGAATAAGATTTTTAAAATCTAAGCTCGAATCGTGATGTAACGAAATATCATCTGGCAATTTTGATTTTCTTTCAGAGCAGCTTTCATTGTCTTTCTTTACTCTTTTCGTGAATGTAGCATACATTCAGACGAACACACACACACACACACACGCACACACACACATACCTTTAACGCTGATGACTTAATCTCGATCGCAAAGATCAAAGTGAACGGTTAACAAGATTTTTGCCTTAAAGTAAACAACGTATAATCTGTCGCACTGAAATTCGAATCCGTGACTGGGCAGTCGTGAGTTTTAACCACACACGCGGCTATACAGGTGAAACCAACAATTCAATAAAAAATTATGCACAGCTTTGCATATTGATTTCGTGTTTATTTAAAAATATCGATTGACTTAGGAGGACCGGTTCAACGAGACTATTTTTTACCCTATATACATAGTAATAAAATTTTCGAACTTGTTAGTGGAAAAGATTCGATTGTTCTCGTGAATACTCTAACGAAGAAAAGTATAAGCTTGGTCAAGCAAAATTGAGAATTAAATACCCTACACCAGTTAGCGTAATATAATTCTTCATTCCAATAAAAATAAATGCCAAAAGTGATGACTAGCTTCTACGTAAATGGGGCGCTTTCCATAAAAACGAGTTTTCAATTTACTAAAATTCATTTTTATATCAAATTAACTTTGATAAGCAATTTTTGTTATAGAATAGTTTACCTTCCTTACTAACAGCTATATAGAACAAGTGTCACACACAATTTTCTCATCCGATCCAAATTTTTCACATCAATTTTAATGTCGAAACGCTATTGACGACCGATATGCGTTAAAAATACCCGCCATGTCAGATATAGCACCCGATGCAAATAAATCTTGAAGAAGGGTAGTCCGATGTTGGCTAGCCGGGATTTTATGGTTGATCCGAAGGCAGAAATGACTAGGTAGTGTAAAGTAAAGCTAAAGGTTTTATAGTCTAAATTTAAGTTCCACAAAGTTACGAGTGCCTGCGTTTAGAGCTGACAGCATTGATTAAACTACAGATTGGTGTTTGCCAAGATCCTTCGGGGGGAATCTTGCACATCGACATACCATGTGAAAATTGCAATGGAAGCTAGTATGTCTAATCGCCAGTTTGAATGCAGCAGGTAACCAATTTGTGAGTCCTGATTACTGGGTGTGGCCCTTCGGGTCCATTGTAATGGTCATGGTTTTCATCATTTTTTAAGGGAATAATTAAAAGGTAATGATGGGCCTCAACATTCCCCAGTGTGGGTTCATTGCGCCATACACAACATATATAGCTCGCTTCTCCCGTGCAGTTCAGGCCCCTAGTTTGTAGGAATTTTCTAACTCGCTCGAGGACTTCGGTTACGCAAACTTAACCCATCGCACCATCGGACGCCATGAGGCAAAGTTTATAACAAGCACTCGCGTTAAACAAAAGAACTATTTCGTACGAACGCTATATTTGCGTGTGCCGGGCCGTGTTCAAGTAGTTGCCAATTCCGACGACCTGCCCTGTCTTCCCTAACCAATTTGCCACACTTGAATCCTGGCAAAGCATTGATAAGCAGAGAGTTGACTTGCCTGCCGTTACTTTTGTAATGGGACGATAGAGTTCGCGGTTATCCCAGTTGGCTTCATACCACAATTTGCTAAGCATGAACGACAACGGAGTTTTCGACTAACTATGTCAAGTCTATTGCCTATTCACAATCCCCCATCCTATAATTTTACGCCTACCTACTATTGCCCAGCAACAATAAATCTGCACCGATTACCTTAACCTGTAAGGAAGGCGATAAAAATAAAAGTTTATCTCTAAAAACAATAGCTCAGATTATTCCTTACCGCTTTAAAGTCTGTATGCGAATCGAAGACCGAGATCGAATGAATCTTCACTGCACACACTGCAGCTTTTATATCATCAATGTCATAAAACAATTAATCCGTAGAGAGCAACCGAGGTTGGGAACCGATCGATGTAAGAGAATTCATGCACAACTCTACAAAATAAAGTTTGTATAATCGATCACCGAATCACATTAATAGCAATGTTATTACACAAGAAGCGTAAATGACATTCATCAAATATGTAGAGTTATGCAGCTTCATACAATTATCATCAGCTGACTATTTCTACATAAAATTATCCCACTTCTTATCCCACTCGTCGAAGCATATTTCCTATAAGCAAAATCAGTAATAGAGAAAAAAATTGTCTTTCCTAATATCATTCCTTTCGGGACACATATATGTGGTTGTTAGTTGATAATTTACAGACTGTGCTGCCTCCTAAATCATTTCAAGAAATGTATAGAAGTGTATATGTCGGTACAAGTATAAAAGTGATGACAAATCATACTCAATTCTCCATATGAGGTACCATGAAGTCAAGCAAAGAAAAAAAAGAAATGATTGTGGACAGCAAAAAGATCCTTTCTTCTGATTTTATCAGATTTTACACGCAGCCAGTTTTTAACTAAGAAGATTCTCTGGCCAAAACATGTCGTTTTGTCAAATTTCGTTAAAATATCTCTCAAAATTCCGATCATCAGATGGACAGACGAAAAGACAAACCGACAGACATGCTTCAATCGATTCACAACATGATTCCAAATGTATCGGTACAATAAATAATGGATCTATCTATTTTAAGTCCTTTTAAGTTTTCCGCACAAACTTAGACCACAAGCGAGGTAGGGCATAAGAATTTTTTTCTGCTGCTACCCTAAAACATTTTCCCAGTGCATATTGCAACAATAGGAAAAAGTTAAATAAAGCTAAGGCATCTTTTCAATCGTTTGGCCGCCTGACGCATTAATGCGCTAATAAAAGAGGAACTAATGAATAAGAAACACACTTATATAATATATATGTAAAAACGCAAGTAAGAAAGAAAAGATTGATATTTCAGGAGAAACAATGAAATTTAAAAAGTACAAAAAATAAAGAAGCAAATCTTAATAAACAATATGTTGTTGAAAATGAACAAGACAAAAAAATCAATAAAACAAGTTATTGGTCAAGCTTAAGATTACCTAAACAAAAACCTAGGTATGTCCAGCTTTGCACATAAACACTTCACATCGTTAAATGTAGATGTTTGCATACGTACGACATGCCTTCAAGGCATGCACTAAATCATGTTTCTGTGTTCAACTTTAGATGCCTCAAAATGTAAAATGAATAGACACTCAAAAATGAAAAAAAAAAAAAAACAAAAAGCAAAAGTAAGCAAGCAAGAGAAAAAATGCAGAGTACATTGTATGACTGTAGCTTTTCAAACTTGTTGCTGTTGATAGAGTACTTTTTTTTTTTCTCTCTGTCTCGCTCTAAACAAAAGTTTTTGTTTTGGATTATTTGCAATGTTGTTAGTGGCTATGTGATTTTCACATAATTCGTTAATGAAGGTTTTGTGTGCATTTCCTGTATTTATATATAGCACAGACATGCGTTAGCTTGTGAGAGGGAAACGCACTCAACTAACTAGCTAGTTGCTCCATTTAATGTGTGTGTGTGTGTGTGTGTGTATGTGTGTTTAATAAATATTATATATCAGAGATAAGTAATCTTCAGTTGATTGATCCGATCCACTCTACCGTTTTTTTTTTTTTTTTTTCTCTTTTTCTTTACACATGCCTTTTGTTCGTCTATTTGCTTGCTGTCGTCCCTCTGTCTTAGAGTTTATCTAACTAAGTATTGCTGAAATCTCCCCAGGCGGAAGAATAAGCACTCTCTGTTGCTTCTCGATGTGTAATTTTTTTTGAATATAAACACAAATTTTTTCCTTTTCTCTTCTTCTTATATAACATTTTCTATATGTGACGCAATGCGGAACTGCCTATGACGTTTCTAAATTTTCTTACGGAATCTTGCATGGATTCACTAATCCATTCAATAACATCATTCTAATAATTTTCATCCTTTATATGCCCAGATTATGAATATAAGAACTATACCAAATAAGGAATTTAATAATTTACTATCAAACCAATTCCATAATACAACAAATTGCAAGTGGTCATAGTGTTATTCTGTTCTTTTAATACTTTCGCAGACGAGGTCCAATAATGTGTTTATGATCAAGTTCAAGTCAAGGTATGTTAAGCTTATTAAACATTTTGTAACTATTAAGATCCGTGAAGTTTAATCACATTTTAAGAGCACACAAGATACTTTAGATGTATTTCAAGATATGCATACATATATACATACTGTCTGTTGACAGATAAAACTCATCAACATAGAAATTCATACGCATTTAACGAGTTTCAGTTGTCAATCGACAATATATTACTTGTTTGTGTGTGCGTTTTTGAATGGAAAAAGTGTTCTTTTCCAACTGAGCCTTGAAAAATATATTTTTTATCGTTGTGTACAAAACATTTTTTCCAACTTTCCCATATGCCGCGAAAAATCAACGACATGAAGTGCCGAAGTTCTAGACCCCAAAAAAGGCCAGGAAAATCTTTTTTGATCACACGATTTCAAACACAACCATATAGTATTTGATTTTGAACTATTCGCTTAAATTCTTGGTTATCAAATAGCAGCCTACCGCTACCCTCGCTTGAAAGAGTATCTTGGCCGTCATATACATATAAGGATGCTTCACTTGCCAAATCGATTAACTCCATTTTTGGAATTTTATTAATTTTTAATATCAAAGCCCTTCATTAGCTCCTAACTGTACATATTCAAAACGAATTTCTCTAATAATAAGTATTAACATCACTAAATGACATATTCGTTTTGGCCACTGAATAATAAATAATTTATTTATAATATTTTATCATTTTTCTTAACTTCTTTCTTGTTTTATGAAGTTAAACGATATGTGGCAAGTGAAGCATCCATTTATAGGTACATGGGTTTACTTATTCATGAATTTATTTATGACTTAGATGCACTACATACGTTAGATAAATGTTGCCTATTAAAATTTTTGCTTTGCTTGCCTGACGGGTTCAATTTTCCCAAAATTTCAGATAAGAATAACTTGAATATTGGTTTTTATACGGTAAAAGCTTTACGCGTTTAATGTACATCTATCGAAATGCAAGGGGTTGGATGTCATCTTTAATCTTTTTGCTTATTATTTTTTTTGAAAAGAATAGAACTGAAGCCACAGAAATGATTAAGTTAGCTTGGGGTGAATATGCAATAACCTATGGAACAATTTGAAAGCGGGTTCGCGATATTTCTCGTTAAAATGTTTATCTTGAAAATGATAAAAATTTGCATAAGTCCATACGTTCTCAGCAAAAGCAATTCAGAAAGTGACCTTCATCTCCCGGATTGACGGGTATGGTTCCCAGACCTGGCCCCTTCTAATTAGCACTGATCATTTTTACCAGATCAACAGCTCTGTAAACATGAAGATGTGCCAAAATGACTATTGGATGACTATTGCAACTCAGAACAAGCAGATTTCTAGCTTGAAGGCATGTGCAAGCTACCCGATAAGTAGCAAAATGCTGTAGATAATGGTGGTAAATATCTCAATCATTACTCTTGGTAACAAGTATATTTTAACTATAGTTGACTTTTATTAATAAAAATGGATAGAAAGTAAATGCACCGAGTCCGAAGAAGATAATACAGTGCTTGCTGCCAATTAGTAGCGAAATGTTATTTCGTGTCCGAGACACTCAATAAGTGTGGTGATTATATCACGGCTTCAACATTGAACAAGTAGTTACCTTAAACATTCAATGCCGATAAGTCGCTCTATAGTTAGACAAAAGTTTCGAACTAAAAAGGGAAATTTCTTATCGCGTATAGCGGATCTAACGCTCTAATATAATTTTTGTTTTCTTTTCGATAAACTTTCTAAGAAATATAATATTAAGTAAGTTTAAATGAAGTTTATTTAGTAGTTATGTAACAAATTTTATGGTGTCACACTCACAACAACAAAATACAAAAACGACGACTGTAAGTGTTTGAAATATAAATTGAGAGATTTTCGTATTATGCGCTGTAAGGCTTGCACGTTGGCAATCTGTACACTATATATGCTACTTCACTCTAAACAAAAGCATTTTATACGTGTGCAGTCGTGTGATGTTGGTTAGAGGTTAGCTTGATTAATTGCCAACTGCGGTTAAATCCTTTGCTGATTTTTTTCATATCTTAACCAGACCGAGTTGTTATTTGATTTTAATTTTTTTTTTTTTTGTCTCTCTCTCTCTCTTTTTCTTTTATCGTCTGCCTGTTTAAGGTTGTGGCTTTGGTCAGCATAGGCGAAAAATAAATCTTCAAACGAAGAAAGCGAGCAAAAAAGGAAAATAAAAATCAAAAAATAGAAGCTCGTCTACTAGGGCCGTGGTGTTTTTTCAACGAACAAATTTGGTTTAAATCATTTGCGGGAGTGCAATTTTTCTTTCTTCCATTTGCGGCCGCCGAAAATGCCTGACCAGCTCGTCATGTGTTGCTCTTTGTTCAATTTATTTATTTATTTTTTTCTTTTTCCTTTAATTTCATTCAGAACCTCAAGTTCATGTTAAGGCATTTATGGGCACCGATAACACACACGTATACATAGATATGAGGAGATAAATTTAAAAATGTCTTTAGAGTTTCGACGAAAATGAAAATAAATGTGTGCGACTAAGAAAACAAGCTTAACCATCTTTCCGTTCATTTCCAGACTGAATGCTTGCTCAGTTCATTCGCAGTCCACGAGCGTGAGTGGATATAGGTTTTAAATGTACAAAAGCATATATTATTCAGTGTTGCAGTTTTATTACCTTGCTACAGTTGCGGTTTCTTTTATGAAAGTTTTTTCGGCGGACGACTAAAGTTGACTGCGTGGACGTTTAGTTAGTTTGTTAGTTCGTTGGCATGTTGCATACACCTCTTCTCGTTTAGCTTACAGTTTAGTAGTAGACTTTCTATTCTTCCATTTTTCATTCAAGTTTGACATGGCAAAGTACACGTGATACTAAAACGAACAAAATAGGTAAATATTTAAAACCGCAACTAAGTATTAAAAAAAAAAAAAAAAATTGTGCACGTTAAATAAAGTTAACTATGCCTTTAGGCAAATTTTAGTTAAGGGTATCGTAAACATTTCAACTATACTCCCAATTTTATTGATAAAGTTCTAAAAGTTTGTTGCTAAAAAAGTCGATAATTCAGTGTTATTCAAGCCACCTCGAATGCAATGAAACTCTCTTATTTCTTTTTAACTCCAAAAAGTTATATCTTTTTAAATTTACTTTACGCCTAACAACGATTTATATGAAAAATGCTTTTATTTCGCCTTTTAAAGTATGCATATAAACTACAATTACTGGAAATGACCTGAAGTGAGCTATGATTAAAAATTATTATTGCGCACTTAAGAGCTTTTCATATCCATGAAAAGTTTCCGCTTCTACTCAATTCTAGCTTTCTTTTTATTACCACATATATTAAAGCGGTTTTCACTTTATTTATTTAATTATTTTTTCAAAAGAGAAAAATAGCGAAAATTTTTTCAAAAAAGCCTGCTTCGATATCGTTGAAAGGCATATTATAATGTTCACATCAAATGAAAGTTGAATAAAAATAAAGTGGAAGTGAAATATAATTTTAATCAATCAGATCTTTTGGACAAAGTAAATTTCTGATTTCTATCAAAGATATTTTTATTTATTTGACGGTAAGGTTGTATTATGTTTGCTTCTTTTATATGACCTTCTGAATTGATCAGGGTTTGCTTGTTCGTCTACCCGTCTTGTATTTTTAAGTTTAACTTACAGATCAAACAGTTTGGCAGATTAACTTGTTTGCTTGGATCCGGCGACTTTTTCAATCACTTTCCATATACCGTCTTATTTTGAAAAGTCGTTATGTAAATAACCATATTATGCGAATAGGTATAGGGTATTTAATAGTGAGCTGCGGCCTACTCTAATACTTTTAATTGGGGAAACAAGTGCAAGCAAAAATTTTCAGTATATTTATACTTCTTATCAATCTCGGTTACTTCAGGGCGCGTCACGCGAGACAGACAAAGTTATTATATTTCTGTCTCCTTGTTGTGTTATGGGTATAAAATAATTTATATACATGTATACACATATACATATAAATAGGTGTAACCCGTTAAAATAGTAAACAAAACAAAATTTTAATTTTATACAAACTTTGGTATGGTAAAACACATAAAAAATACAATAACAATATGTAAGAAAATTGTATTCGTCTGTGGTCGAATCTGTTCACTTTTATCTGAAAAAAAATTATATCAAAATTTGTGATGGCTGTGCGTGTGTGTCTGTTCTTTTTTATGCATCCTGAAAGTAGAAAACTCCAAAAGATAATATCCAATACTAGCGGCATGCAAGATCTGCTATTCATGGCGCCCATGTACTAGAACTCCTCCCCAAAACACACTACTTCGTCCTCGACTCTACCCCTCGAGACGATCGCTACGTATTACTTCGCGAGGGCTGGTTGCAAGTGGTGCTTTTCGTTTACTAGGGTTCCAGCGGACTATCCGATTGATTCCAATTTGTAGTCTGGCGAGTCTAGATCTACTGCGTTTAGCCACCCTTTCACACGCGCCACAGCATTATTTCACGTGGTTTCGACTTGATTAATATACTTGGCAACAACAACGATGGCAATGTCATGGGCGAAGCCAACTATTGTGGCATCAGTGGGATTTAGCAAACTAAGCTCATCGTTGTACATGATATTTCATAGGAGGTGGCCGAGAATCGATCCCTGCGGCATGTCTGGCGTTACATTGTGCAACTACCTATCAGAACCATTATCGCTCTGAAATTTGAGTCTGCGATTTGCAAAGTAGCTCATCACTTAATATTTATGTCAGGGCTTCCATTTTGGTGAGTGCCCCTCTAATTCATTTCCAGTCTGCCGTGTTGAATGCATACTTGGTATCAGTTCTTATCAGTATTTTTTAGCATTAGCGTCTTATCGTTCTTCTGGTACGGCGTCAGTAGCGATATGAATCATTCGTTTAATAGCATCTATAGCGGACTTTCTGAATCCGTATTGGCCCTCTGCTAATGCAAGGAGCCGATTGTACGTAATCCTCTGGACCACCACGCGAAAGGTATCCATTAGACAAACGGGCCGTTATGAACTCGGTTCGTGTGATGAGTTTTTTCTCTGTGTAAGTGTGTATTTATAAATAATGAACAAAATATTAATTTTTTTCACTCTTGGAAACCGAAAGATTTTCAGTTTAGAACTGTAGGCGATTTGGTCCATTTTTCACAAGGAAGAGATTTACAATATTTCACCATATAAATAATTATTATAAAAATACGCGATCGGATACGTGCACAGGAAAGTGTGCCTAAATCAGTTTAGTTCTTCATACTTGTTAAGAATATGTGTGTTTTATAGCTTCTTTAAAGCTTCTTTCTGGACGTTGTAAAAGTTTGCACAATACGGAATATGCCCCCATCTGTCAGTAGTGAGTACAAAAACTCACCTTTTTCATACCATATAAATAAGCTTTGAAAGTTCCGTTCAGTTTTCTTTTATCATACATTTTAGCGCAGTGTCTTTTTTTACAAATTAAAAATTTCCGCTATGATTATTTTTTCCGGTTTAAACATATTTTCTTATAATTTTTGTTTTCCTTCTTTTCATTTCTTTTATAAAAATTCACTTATCATATTTCTTATCGCTTATGCTAAAAAAAAATTTAAATACTTAACCTTCACAGACAGCTGAAGTACCAAAGTTGAGTTGTGTATGTTCGTAGCATTTAAAATATGGAAACTTTTAATTGTTTTTTGCATTTCCTCAGAAATTTAAAAAAAAAAAAATGCATAGCCAAATTTAACTGGATATAAAAACATCGCGTTTCAGGGAATCTTAAGGTTTTAGGAATGTCCTACTGTAAATATTTCTCCGTAAATATGCGCTCTTGGACAATGGCGTATGAAGTGACGAAGGTTAAGAATTGAACAAAAGATTCATCACGATAAAATAGACAAACGCAAACACAAACACTAACCTCCCCATCTTTGGCATTTTTCTAAAGCCACTATTCAAATCCACAGAAGCATGAATTTTTATGACAGCATTTAAAAAGGAAACGGAAATGCTAACAATAACTTTAAAAGAATGATAGACTAGAAAAGAAATCGGAAGTTTTCTTTAAAAGAGAATAGTATGGAAACTTTTTATACAGTTTTGAAGAAATTCTTCTAAAAAACAATAAGTAATGATTTAACTCGCTTCCCACGCATAATAAGAAATGTTGCATTTGTTTTTGTGATAGTAATGCTTGCGTATTAAGAATGTAACGCGTCATAATGACGGATATGATTTAATGATTTAAACTATTTTATAGTATAAAATATATTTCATTATACAAAACGCCGTTAACTTTAACTTCATGAGCTTAAAAGTTTCCCGGAGTTAAGTCAAATCCGCACCCTAGTTAGCGACTTAAATATTGGACGCATTTTATAAAATATATCTACCGCTTGTACGAATTCCAATCTTCTGGATGTGTATAAAGAAATTCGATGCTTGACAGCATTTATACGCTCTAGTATGTAATGACTGTAATGGTGCATAGATTTTCGGACATACCTAAATGTGTTGCATATTGCAGAAACGCTAGTGATATGATAGGCATACTGACTGGTATAGGTGCAACTGCAATTTGGTGCACGTTGGTAGGAGTTTAAAATTTTTAAGTACAACTTCTACAACCAACAATTTTTAAGGACAAAATGAAAGTTTTCCCAGGAAAAGTTATATAATACCTACAGTCACTATATTCATCATAAAAGTTCAAAATTTCAAAGATAACGCCTTTGATATGCAAAAGGGAATTCGGCGTAATTATTAATGCACATTACTTTTGTACATACGAGTGAAAATGCCAGAAGAAAGTTGTCCTCCAGCGAAGCGGTTCCGCTTCATTGGTTACGTACAGGAACATAAGAGTTAAACTACAAAGTAAGCCCACCACAATTAAAATACTGTAAAAGACTTTATAATTCTTGTTATTAATAACTTACAAAGTTTAGCAGATATCGTACGAATATATAGCAAAATCAGAGGTTTGGCACTCAAGTGATACTAATAACATAAGGGCAACTAAGAAGAAAGTGTAGACTCATTTGACGTGGTATGTAACTAAGATTCAGTTCGTGACGATAATAAATATCTATTTATTTCTGACATCAGGTAAATTCACACCTTATTATATCTCCTGTTGGCGGCGGCGTTGCTAACCAAATTTACATTTAATTGCTTTCATTACCTAATACTTTCAATTGAACTACAATTTACGAAACCACAATCCACCGATAAGTAAAGTACAACAGAAAACTTCAGAAACAACAACGAAAATAACAATAACGCCAGGCGTAATAACTTTAGATATAATGGACATCAATCGGTTTGAAACAACTGTTCCAATAAACGGAAACAATATATAATTCATGTTGTGTACAACAAACAAATATTTAGATAATAGTCTGAAACTTCTTTTTCTTATATAAACAGTGGAAGTTACTCAGGCTGTTTTATTTAATTTCATATATTAAAGC